TCCGAGCTGTCTTTCCGGTGGTGGTGCCTGGGGGTTTGGGTTCCCTCTGTGTCATGATCCACCATCTCTCAGCATCGGCTTCCACAGCAGCTATAGCAGGAGAAGAAAATGCCGGGGGCTCTCGGGGTGCTTTTAAGGGCCTGGTTCACCTACCCGCAAAGAGTGCGAATTGCCTTCCTGTGTGGCCAGAACTGATGATAAACTGGAGACTCATCCCTGCCGAAACACAGCTCCAGAGTGCTCCCAAGGCTGGACTGCGAGTGCATGCTGGATCCCTCCTGTGTTATCACTGGCAATTGTATTCTCATTTCTTTTATTCTCCAGGTGGCAAATGGTAGGATCCAAAGCCTTGAGGCCACCATTGAGAAGCTCCTGAGCAGCGAGAGCAAGCTGAAGCAGGCCATGCTTACCTTAGAGCTGGAGCGGTCTGCCCTGCTGCAGACGGTGGAGGAGCTGCGGCGTGGGAGCGCATCACCCAGCGACCTCCGAGAGCCTGAGTGCACGCAGCCCGAGCCCACGGGCGACTGACAGCTCTGCAGGAGAGATTGCAACACCATCCCACACTGTCCAGGCCTTAACTGAGAGGTTCGGAAGACGCTGGAGGGAGAGAAGGAAGCGGAAAGTGTGCTTCTCAGGGAGGAAACCGGCTTGTCAGCAAGTAGATTCTTACGAACTCCAACTTGCAATTCAGGGGACATGTCCCAGTGTTTTTGTTGTTGTTTTTAGATACTAAATCGTCCCTTCTCCAGTCCTGATTACTGTACACAGTAGCTTTAGATGGCGTGGACGTGAATAAATGCAACTTATGTTTTCTTGTTGGTTCCTTTTTGAGTATCACTGTGTTTGTAAAGAGCATTCACAATACTGTGGAATTTCAAAAGCTGGAAGAGCTCGAGATCATTCCTCAGGCAGAGGCGTGGGTCCATCATTCTTCCAAGAGGGTTTGTGTGACAACTACACCCTCTGTCACTGGCAAGGTGCAGTTGGCTCTCGCCCATTCTTGTTATGGAAACCTAAGATGATCATTGGGAAGAATGGAAAGTGATTTATTTAATTTGGATATCCTGATCACTGTCAAGTGAAATTGATCTCTCTGGTATTTAAGATGGTTTGTCTTTAAAAAAATACAGAATGTTTTCATACATTTTTGCTTATCCCATAAGTACAGTTGATCAAAGCCAGAGTAGGTAAATGCTTATGGGACAGTTGACACCTTTTAGACTCTACCAGGTATTGCTAGTATGTGAGCTGCAGTTGTGGGGTCTGAGATATTTCTTTGTGGTAGTTTCATACTCATGCTATAGAGTCATGTATTTATTTTTGCCTGTTGTGTGATGGAATGCAATCATGTTCCTTTGAGTCTCCATCCCTTGGAAATCTGATTTCTTGCAGAAGGAGCAGGCACATCAAGATATTCAGGTGTGCCCCAAGAGTCTGGGATTTTCAAAAAAAAAGATCAGGCTGAAGCTGCAATCAGATTTATGACAGCTGACAGTTTTTCAGAGGTCGCACACAGTGACTCTCCTCTCTCAGGATGACGAGGATCTGTGCCTTCAACAAGCAAAATGCTGCTCACGGTTGTCCTGCTTGCAGCCAGTCACTGTGTAAAGCCTCTCTGATGTGCATGTAAGAGTGGGTTGCTTTCTTACAAAGATGGGGTTCTGTGCAGTCACAGGCCACTTCCTTGACAACACCATCATTTCTGATCTTTATTACTGTAACCACTTCTTCTATTCCATAGGAGTTTCTTTTGATTCTCTCAGTTGTTGTGGGGATGTCTCTTAATCCCGGGGTAAAAGGAGAATTTGCCATACTTAGACTCATTATGAGTCTCCCCTGCCATTTCACGAGGAGACCACAGTGCTGCCCCCAGTGCCTAAACCAGGTGGCTGGCGTTCGAGACTTCCTCTTGTTCCTGGGTCAGAGGAGAGCGGTTTCCATCAAAAACCAAGATGATGAGTTCAGCCTTTATCCCTAGTGGTTCCACTAGATGTAACTTAAAGGAGTGAACATTCGAGGACTTTGTTCTACATCAGATTTTACTATTTGAATGTTTACTGTTGGATTTTGGACATCTTATTACTGTTACTCAAAAACATTGACTCTGCATCAAGTAAGAAACACGAAAGCAATAAAACAAGAAATAATTCATGCCCACATTTTTATGGTGGTTTTTTTTTTTTTTTAAATTTTGGATTTTTGCTTTTCAGCCTGGGAGTAAAGGAATGTCTTATGAACACCTGTGGCCTATGTGTGGTCATTACCCAACCATCAGTGAGATTATTTGAGATATTGGTGTCTGCTTCCAGTATTGTTATCTGAGTGTTAATTATGTAAGTTGTAACACCTCTACCCAGGGTGTGAGTTTAGCACTGATGAGACCGGCTCCATCAGTGGTATGTGGCAGTGAGTGCTGTTACGAGATTGTGTTGGGCAGAAAGGACTGTTGACATGAGCCTGTGGATGTAGGTTGGACAGTCTCAGCTTGTGACTTACTAGGCAAGGTGCAGAGAGGCAACTATGTGAGGATTCTCAGAGCCAAATTTGTAAACCATGTTTTGTGTTGTATTTCCCCCAAAACTCATTTGTGCACTTGCTGGTGTCAATCTTTTGATGCCATTTATGCCTCTTAAGACATTTTGAGGCCTCAAGAAGTGTACTGTTACCTGGAACAGGATGAGACTCTCTTCAGCTTGCACACTCGGTTCCCTCTCAGGGGTAGCCTATAGATAGAACAACGACGTCCATTTGGAGGTTTGTGTGTCTGGTTTGGTAAACGGGAGAAGAGTTGCTCCAAGTGCCATGGGATACCAAATTTTGTTACAGAATTAGATCAAACTCAACTGTGTGAAGCGTTGGAGAAGTGAAGATTCAGAAGGCGTGTGAATCAGACTAAGTCACCAGGTCGTCTTTTGGAAGCAAAGCACAAGGCCACTGCAGAAGTGGGCCTGGGCAGGTGACGTGGCGGGGGCTCTGTGACCACCTTTATGGGTCTGCAGCCAGGTATTTAGTGGTGTGCCAGGGCCACCCTAGTCAGCACTCAGGAAGAAGAGCTGGAGGTGAAGCAGAAGGGAATGAGGACAAGCTGGAACTGGCCAGGCACCTTCGTGTCTGTCTCGTTGCTACACCGTATTGAACAATGGTTATCTCAGAGAAAAATGGTACTTGTTTCACTTTGGCCCTCCAGATCTCATGCCAGCATGTCTTAGAGCCAATTCTAATTCAGGGGAATTAGGGAAGGGGACTCTGGAAAACACAGTTCTGGATTAACCACGTTAACATAGTATAAGCCACCATGGTTAATTTTGGAACCTGCCTACTTTGAATGACAGCATGCATGTTTGAGTCTTTTTATAGAGGCCCTTCGTCTAAGTGTGTACAATTAGTGATCCATAAAGTTCGGACTCAGATTGACATTGGCATTGAGAGTCACTGATGGTGCACCATTAGAGATGACAAACTTCAGAGACCACTTCTGGCTTCTGGGACTGCCTCCCAGCTTTCATCTGCCCTGCTCTGCCAGCTGTAGGAAGAGCTGACTCTGATTACTATTTAATCCTACTAATTAAAATCCAGAAACTATGTGGGACAATAATTTATAAGCCACATTGTCGTAAATGTAAACTCTGCTTTAAGGGTTTGGCATCGCTCAAAATAATTCTAGACTGGGAAAGCTGGAGGGAGCTTCTCTTCATACTGGAAAGTCACCTCCCACCTCATTTTGTACAGGAAAATGCTTAGTGAGGTGTAGAGAGTTTCAGAATCACTTGATGGTTGGTTACAGGATCAGAGTAGATCCCTGGCCTTCTGGCTGCCTAATAGTGGGCAGCACCCAACTTTACTTCCGGTGAGTTTTGGGAACCATTTCTGATGACATCAATTTACAAAGCAAAGAGATATTTGCTTCATTTTCGCAAAGCTGACCTGTATTGTAAAGAGCCCAAATCAGTTTCTCTCCTGAAATTCCTCCAGCAGCTTTAATTGACAGGGAGTTAAAACTGGGAGGCTCTCCAGTGAGTGACCCCTACATGTGGACCCAGAGGCGGAGAAATTCTATTGCAACAGGATTTGACATGATTAGATACAATGTTTGTTCTTGACAACCATTTCCTTTTTACCTTTGGACTTTTGAAAACCTTTGCATTGTAATGTTTTTAGAAGAAACAAATCAACACAGAATTACCTTTGGTTTTATAAAAGAGAAACTCCATTATGTAAACTATTTTGCTGCCATCTCTAGAAATGATTAAAATGATCAGGGAAATTCAAGAGTTATATGGTAT